TATTGTTAAGATCCCGTGTACCCGGAAGATCTAGAAGGGCCGCGGGGTCCAGACAATCTTGTTGGAAAATCCTGGGAAAAGTAACCATCACAGGTACGAACGACATAACACTGGTTTAAAAGTATGGATGGAATGTGTTCGCTCACACCCGTTCCTGTCACACAGTATGAAGACGTCATGAATTATAGTTTTAAACAAACATTTCATACCTTTGACAATGCGATTAAAAGGCAGATATTTACCTAACGTTTTCTTTGAAATTCGTATAATCGTTCCATAGACACATTTGCTGTTTGTGATGTTATCATTCTCGAACAATAAACACGTTCTCGAGAACACGAGACATCACCATGTTCTCCACAACAGACACCCGACTGTCAATGTCCATGGACTTGGCCACCCGAGTCATTATCTATGCTCTTGACCACTCCAGTCCCTTTCCTTGTTCTTGAACACCCCAGTCATTGTCAATGCTCTTGACCACATCAGTCCCCTTCGCTGTTCTTGAACACCCGAATCATTGTCTATGCGCCTGACCACATGAGTAAATGTCTATGCTTTGACCAAATGAGTAGAGGTCTATGCTTTGACCACAAGAGTAAATGTCTATGCTCTTGACCACATGAGTAGATGTTTATGCTCTTCACCACATGAGTAAATGTCTATGCTCTGGACCACATCAGTCCCCTTCGCTGTTCTTGAACACCCCAATCATTGTCTATGCTCTTGACCACATCAGTCCCCTTCGCTGTTCTTGAACACCCGAGTCATTGTCTATGCTCTTGACCACATGAGTAAATGTCTATGCTCTTGACCATACGAGTAAATGTCTATGCTTTGACCACATGAGTAAATGTCTATGCTCTTGACAACATGAGTAAATGTCTATGCTCTTGACCACATGGGTAGATGTTTATGCTCTTGACCACATGAGTAAATGTCTATGCTCTTGACCACACGAGTAAATGTCTATACTCTTGACCACATGAGTAGATGTCTATGCTCTTGACCACACGAGTAAATGTCTATGCTCTTGACTAAATGAGTAAATGTCTCTGCTCTTGACCACATCAGTCTCCTTCGCTTTTCTTGAACATCCAAGTCATTGTCTATGCTCTTGACCACATCATTCCCCTTCGCTGTTCTTGAACACCCGAGTCATTGTCTACGCTCTTGACCACACGAGTAAATGTCTATGCCCTTGACCACATGAGTAAATGTCTACGCTCTTGACCACATGAGTAGATGTCTATGCTCTCCACCACATGAGTAAATGTCTATGCCCTTGACCACATGAGTAAATATCTATGCTCTTGACCACATGAGTAAATGTCTATGCTCTTGACCACATGAGTAGATGTCTCTGCTCTTGTCATCAAGAATAAATGTCTATGCTCTTGACCACATGAGTAGATGTTTATGCTCTTAACCACATGAGTAAATGTCTATGCTCTTGACCACATGAGTAAATGTCTATGCTCTTGATCACATGTGTAAATGTCTATGCTCTTGACCACATGAGTAAATGTCTACGCTCTTGACCACATGAGTAAATGTCTATGCTCTTGACCACATGAGTAAATGTCTATGCACTTGACATCAAGAGTAAATATCTATGCTCTTGACCACATGAGTAGATGTCTATGCTCTTGATCACGTGTGTAAATGTCTACGCTCTTGGCCACATGAGTAAATGTCTACGCTCTTGACCACATGAGTAAATGTCTATGCTCTTGACCACATGAGTAAATGTCTATGCTCTTGACATCAAGAGTAAATATCTATGCTCTTGACCACATGAGTAGATGTCTATGCTCTTGACCACATGAGTAAATGTCTATGCTCTTGACCACATGAGTAAATGTCTATGCTCTTGACCACATAAGTAGATGTCTATGCTCTTGACATCAAGAGTAAATGTCTATGCGCTTGACCACATGAGTAGATGTCTATGCTCTTGACCACATGAGTAAATGTCTATGCTCTTGACTACATGAGTAAATGTCTACGCTCTTTATCACATGTGTAAATGTCTACGCTCTTGACCACATGAGTAAATGTCTACGCTCTTGACCACATGAGTAAATGTCTATGCTCTTGACCACATGAGTAGATGTCTATGCTCTTGACCACACGAGTAAATGTTTATGCTCTTGACATCAAGAGTAAATGTCTATTCTCTTGACCACATGAGTAGATGTCTATGCTCTTGACTACATGAGTAAATGTCTATGCTCTTGACCACATGAGTAAATGTCTACGCTCTTGACCACATGAGTAAATGTCTACGCTCTTGACCATGTGTAAATGCCTACGCTCTTGACCACATGTGTAAATGTCTACGCTCTTGACCACATGAGTAAATGTCTACGCTCTTGACCACATGAGTAAATGTCTACGCTCTTGACCTCATGAGTAAATGTCTACGCTCTTGACCACATGAGTAAATGTCTATGCTCTTGACCACGTGTAAATGTCTACGCTCTTGACCACATGACTAAATGTCTACGCTCTTGACCACATGAGTAAATGTCTATGCTCCTGAACACCGCGTCAGTGGCCATGATCTCGACCATGTTGTGACACGCATAATGGCTAGTTTGGTTTTTGTTTGTCCCTGATAGACGTGTCTTGACAATCTTTACGCCGTAGTTGATTTAAAAAGGAAAATCACGCAAAACTAAATTTGTAAAACGACGATTATCAAGGAAAACGTAAATCAGCCGTAACCGTTAAACTAGATGACAGAAACTGTGTATGTCAACACAATTAAAGAGCCTCTATATATTGTGCAAATATGTACATGTATAATTGTATGACACAACTTTAAGTTCTGTTTTGTATCACGTTGAGTGAATTGTTGTCATAATGCATAGATGAAATATTAACAATTTTACATGTGAACACCTTACTCATTGGACACGTTGTATTATGAGAATGACACCAGGTGTTCACAAGATACATGTACGTACACTACTGCAGGAACGGACACAGCTGTTTACAATATACGTGTAGGTACATTCCACTACACCGGGTGTTCACAAGATACGTGTACATACACTCTACTACAGGAACGGACACATCTGTTTAGAATATAGGTGTACGTCCATTCAAGTACACAAGGTGTTCACAAGATACGTGTACGTACACTCCACTACAGGAACCGACACAGCCGTTAACAATATAGGTGTACGTACATTCAAGTACACCAGGTGTTCACAAGATACGTGTACGTACACGCTACTACAGGAACGGACACAACTGTTTACAATATAGGTGTACGTACATTCCAGTACACCGGGTGTTCACAAGATACGTGTACGTACACTCTACTACAGGAACCGACACAGCCGTTAACAATATAGGTGTACGTACATTCCAGTACACCAGGTGTTCACAAGATACGTGTACGTACACTCTACTACAGAAACGAACATAGTTGTTTACAATATAGGTGTACGTACATTCCAGTACACCAGGTGTTCACAAGATACGTGTACGTACACTCTACTACAGGAACGAACACAGTTGTTTACAATATAGGTGTACGTACATTCCAGTACACAAGGTGTTGACAAGATACGTGTACGTATACTCTACTACAGGAACGGACACAGCTGTTTACAATATAAGTGTACGTACATTCCAGTACACCAGGTGTTCACAAGATACGTGTACGTACACTCTACTACAGGAACGGACACAGCTGTTTACAATATAGGTGTACGTACATTCCAGTACACCGGGTGTTCACAAGATACATGTACATACACTCTACTACAGGAACGAACACAGCCGTTTACAATATAGGTGTACGTACATTCCAGTACACCGGGTGTTCACAAGATACGTGTACGTACAAACCTGTAGGAATGGACACAGCTGTTTACAGTAAAGGTGTACGTATATTTCAGTACAATCATAAATAAAAGGGAATAGGATAGGATCCAGGAATTTTCGGGGGAGGAGGGAGCTAACAGTGACTACTTTTATAATTCTGAAAAGGTAAACTACTACCTTTCGTGAAGTACACTTTAAAAAGTTAAAAGTTATAGAAGTAATCATACGGACTTTCATGGTCCGCTTCCGTATGAAGAAGTACTCTATCAGTCCTGCAACAATTTAACACATTCATAAACTCAAAGGGATTCACTCGCATCAATACACGTCTGGATTTGGCAACAACTGCAAACGTTATCAAAACTTAGTAAAAAGGAAAACAGAAGTAATGAAACTAACGGACTCTTTTTACGAAAATTTCCCCTGTTAACTCAAATGCCTGGGTTATGACTGAAAGATAGGTACGGGTACTCGAGGTTGTGGTGTTTGCCGAGGGCGGCGGGCCGTTAGGTCCCATATACACAGTTTACATACATAAATATTCTACGCCATCCCCGTGTAGGTCGTTGGTATAAACCAGGAAGTTAGTTGTTTGTGGATGAAAATGGCACGATGTCTGACAATGTATGTGCACTCGTTATTGAACTACGAGCGTGAAGCTCTCACATTGAATAGCTGAAGCAGCGCGAAAATAGTTAAAGCAACGAGAATATATAATCTAAACAGCAAGAAAATAGTTGACTAATTCGAATTACCGTGTGTTTTATTGTAAATAAACAACGAGCATGTGGAATCTTATCTGTTTTTTTAACTCGATTTTGTTTCTAAAAGAACCCTTTCAAAACATACATATTTTGAAAGCAGGCATATATAACAAGTTTTCGACAGTATCTACATCAAATAAATACTGTCGACACGAATCATACTAATCTAACCTGTTGAATAATGTCAAATGGCTCCATGGTGCAAACAAAGATAAAATTTGTATTCTCTATCGAATACTATGCAGAAAGTTATTTTTAAAGATAGTAAAGAAAGAAAGTCGAAAGAATGCCTCGAAGCCACTCATGACGTGAATGACCACCCATCATGGCCGTGGAAGCACGTGACCGCCTGTGAACGATCCGGATACAACAGCTCCACCCTGACGTATGTGATTGACAGTTTGACAGCTGCGTGTGCTCATATATAACGTCGGATTTATTCGCGTGAGCTGTGTGTCTTCACAGCGATTGTGATCATATATAACAGGTGCGTCGGCTACAACACCCAAAATGGTAGGTTTTTACTTTTTTACGATATTGATTTATATTTTCCATATGTATGTTAAATATCAGAACTACATATGAATCTTTGTTTTAATTACCTCTCTTCAAAACCATTGATGTCAAGCAGTTGCGGGTAACTTTAGGGTTGTAATTTTCCTACCCACATAATGTTAGTCTCGTGTAAAAGATACAAGCACAAAAAATCCTTAGTAAAACATACAACCGATGTGAGTCGTTAGTAAAGCATATGACCAGTCAAACATAACACTCAACTCGCAGTCACTATGCTGTGTCTGAGTGAGGCCCATGTTATAACTGCGGTATGATAATTTCAGTTATAAAGTCTGGACTAGCACAAACAGCCACACATACACACATACACACATACACACATACACACACGCACGAACGCACGAACGCCCGCACATACATAGCCTGAACAAGCAGCATCATTCACCTGAAAGAGCAAGAAACATCGTGTTCAACAATAAAGAAGAAGTTGATATCCAAAATTCTTTGATCATAGTTCATCTCCTTAATGCCCTTTAAAGAAGTGGGGCGTGTGGTAGCCTAGTGGTTAAAGCGTTCACGCCGACGATCCGGGTTCGATTCCCCGTATGGGCACAATGTGTGACGCTCATTTATGGCATCCCCCGCCGTGATATTGCTGGAATATTGCTAAAAGCGGCGTAAAACCCAACTCACTCACTCACTCACGTTAAAGACGTAAACACCAGTAAAACATCAATACGTTTTGTCTTTAAGTGTATTTTTACGAATCATTTTTCACAGATGTCCTCAGGCAACCTCGTGCTCCTACTGTGTGTCTGTCTGTGTGTCCAGTTGGCAGCTGGCCAGGTCGGATGTCCATCCGGATGCAGATGCACCACCTCCAACAACGCCATGACCTGCCAGCGCCTCTCCATCTTTCCCACTTACATTCCCTCCTACATAACCACGGCCTATTTCTATTATTCAAACTTCAGGGAGATCCCAAGTGGAAGATTCCATGGAAGCCCCAATCTGAAATCTATAAGCTTTACTTATGGATCCCTGGGCACAATACAGAGCTGCGCGTTCTCCGATATCCAAGCTTCAGTGACCTTCTCCCGAGTAAACATCACCAACATCAGGGGAGGTGCCTTTAGCAACCTGGACAAAAACATCAACCGTCAAATCACATTTTCCTATTCCAACATCACCACCATCGATTCCTACGCATTCCACAACCTGACTGGTGTGAACTCACTTACCTTCAGCTATGCCAAGATCTTCACCATCCGACCGTATGCTTTTAAGGACATCATCTACAGTCGGTCCTTGAAGATTCAGTACACCAACATCACAAACCTCATGAGCTACGCCTTTGATCTACCCCCCTACAGCTTCCAATCGTCCCAGATCACCAGAGGCTCCGTCATGAATATCGGCTGCAACACCCTTGAGGAACTGACGTCGGTGCAGTACCTGACAACGCCGTGCAACTGTGACAACGTCGAGCTGTACAGACGCGGAACCAGGTTCTCCGGCAGACAGCACTGCTTTGCCCCCAACCAGATCCAGAACCTCACCCCAGGCAGCCTCAACCGCTGTCAGCGTCCTGATGTCAGTGTGCCGAGTGCGTGCCCCGGGAGTTTCAATAATGTTGACACTGGCGTCACATCGACCGTCAGAGTGAGTATATTTTCGTGCCTTTCACGAATGTTTTGGTAGCTGTCAAATGTAAATGGTTAAGTTATATCCTTCGAGTGACGTCATACTATAGTTTTACGAGGAGAAGCATATTCCAGTTATGTTCTATATAAAGACGCAATTTCTCAAGAACACTCAGACTGTAGACAGTCATTCTGTCTCGGGAACAGTCTGTAGATATTCCTTCTGTCCCAGGGAACTCCACAGAACATCCCTATGTCCCAGGGATAGGCTAAAGAAAGTCCTTATGCCTCGGAAACAGTATGTAGACATTCCTTCTGTCCCAGGGAACTACTCAGAACGTCACCATGTCCCATGAATAGGCTAAAGAAAGTCCTTATGCCTCGGAAACAGTATGTAGACATTCCTTCTGTCCCAGGGAACTACTCAGAACGTCACCATGTCCCATGAATAGGCTAAAGAAAGTCATTTTGTCTCGGGAACAGTCTGTAGACATTCCTCCTATGTAAGGGAACTCCACAGAACATCCCTATGTCCCATGGATAGGCTAAAAAAGGTCCTTCTGTCTCGGGAACAGTCTGTAGATACTCCTTCTGTCCCAGGGACCTCCACAGAACATCCCTATGTCTCAGAGGTAGGCAAAAGAAAGTCCTTATGCCTCGGAAACAGTCTGTAGACATTCCTTCTGTCCCAGGGAGCTCCACAGAACATCCATATGTCCCAGGGATAGACTAAAGAAAGTCCTTCTGTTTCGGAAACAGTCTGTAGATATTCCTTCTGGCCCAGGGAACTACTCAGAACGTCACCATGTCCCATGAATAGGCTAAAGAAAGTCCTTTTGTCTCGGGAACAGTCTGTAGACATTCCTCCTATGTAAGGGAACTCCACAGAACATCCCTATGTCCCAGGGATAGGCTAAAAAAGGTCCTTCTGTCTCGGGAACAGTATGTAGATACTCCTTCTGTCCCAGGGACCTCCACAGAACATCCCTACGTCCCAGGGGTAGGCAAAAAGAAAGACTTTATGTCTCGGAAACAGCCTGTAGATATCCCTTCTGTCCCAGGGAACTCCACAGGACATCCCTATGTCCCAGGGAGAGGCTCAGAAAGTCCTTTTGTCTCGGAAACAGTCTGTAGATATTCCTCCTATGTAAGGGAACTCCACAGAACATCCCTATGTCCCAGGGATAGGCTAAAAAAGGTCCTTCTGTCTCGGGAACAGTCTGTAGATACTCCTTCTGTCCCAGGGAACTCCACAGAACATCCCTATGCCCCATGGATAGGCTAAAGATAGTTCTTTTGTCTCGGGAACAGTCTGTAGACATTCCTCCTATGTAAGGGAACTCCACAGAATTCCTATGTCCCAGGGATAGGCTAAAAAAGGTCCTTCTGTCTCGGGAACAGTCTGTAGATACTCCTTCTGTCCCAGGGAACTCCACAGAACATCCCTATGTCCCAGGATAGACTAAAGAAAGTCCTTCTGTCGCGGGAACAGTCTGTAGATATTCCTTCTGTCCCAGGGAGACTCTGTAGAAAGTCCAGGGATAGGCTAAGCTAGTCCCGCTGCCTCACAAACAGTGAGCAGCAAGTCCTTCTGTCCAAGGATGCTTTGTAGAGAGACCCTCTGGCCCATTGATAGGGTACGAAAACGTCCCAGCGTCTCAAGAATAGTCTGTAGAAGTGCTTCTGTCACTGGAATATTCTGTAAAGAGTCTGTCTGTCACGGGGACATTGACCATGTCGCTCGTTAGATGTATTTGTCATTAGAACACACTGTCCGAAATATTGTAAAGGCAAACAGCAAATCAGTAGGGCTGTAACGAGGCATCGAACTATCGGTGGATTGCAATTGTTGAGTCTCCGATAGCACTTAATCGAGGGTAGAAATGAAACTGTGACTATCTATAGTTTAGTGATTGGCTTTCGTTGAAAAACACGCAGCGCAAAATACAGGATGTTTGGGTGCAGACTTGCAGCTTCACTGAGGTCATGTGTTAACTGTTTACTTGATCTGGGTTTCAAGTTTCTTGTCAGTTATTAAAAGAGACTGAAACTACTTCAACTTGTTTTATTTCACATAAACCATACATTTATTTAGAAAATGACTTCAATTGAGACAATTCAATGAGAAAAAGCTATTGCAATGGTATTGCACTAGTTGGTCGCTATCGCAATGGTTGTTTCCCTTTCAGTAACACACCACCCCACCCCCAAACCCCGCCCCCTACTTTTCAGCGTGATAGCACTTGCCGCCCAGTCGTGACTTCGATCTGATGCTGTTTCTAGTTTATCAGTCCTATACCCGTGCTCGTGGCTTTCCCCAAAGTTGTAAACACTTCATCAAGGTCTTTGTCTCCTACGTCAAACCTCCATAGAACTGAAAAAATGTTCCAACCAGCTTAAAACTCACACAATATCAGACTGGTTATGTAAAAAGCTGACAATTAAGGAATCGATACTCTATGTTTTTTCGAATGTAAATATTTTAACTAGGGCTACCAATGTATTTCACTTTTCTGATTCTTTCAGCCTCCTATCCCAACAAGTGGCAACTGCACCCGTGAACAGATCCGCCTCCAGTTGGCCAATCAGAACTACAGGGAGGCGTTGGCCTGCTTCCGGTTCAACTTCGACATGTCGGACAACAACCTCAGCTTCAAATTCGACATGACCCTTAATTGAAGCAGGACCTAATCTTTGGCCTGTTTCATAAACGTATCATGCTGATATGAAGAAACAATAAATATAAAACTACGATGAATTTGGTTGTGTTTTGTCAACTTGTAATACAAAACAGTGCAGCAGCAGTATCAGCAGTAGGTGTAGCAGCAACAACAGCAATATTTGTACAAGCTGTAGAAGCAGTAGCAGCAGCAGCAGTATCAGCAGTAGGTGTAGCAGCAACAACAGCAATATTTGTACAAGCTGTAGAAGCAGTAGCAGCAGCAGCAGTATCAGCAGTAGGTGTAGCAGCAACAACAGCAATATTTGTACAAGCTGTAGAAGCAGTAGCAGCAGTAGCAGCAGTAGGTGTAGCAGCAACAACAGCAATATTTGTACAAGCTGTAGAAGCAGTAGCAGCAGCAGTATCAGCAGTAGGTGTAGCAGCAGCAGAAGCAATAGTAGTAGTCTGTCTCACAGTCCCTGAACCACATTATTTTCCCTACTGCCTAGCCCTCCCTGCAATGCTAAAGCCCTAAATAAAGCAAGTCTAGATTCCGTCAGGTTCAGGGTCTGTTAACATCTGCAAGAAAACTAACTCACTTTGGGGGTCGGATTACAAAGTAAACATATCTAACTACCATGGCTGGCCGGACCAACATCCCCACCAGTGGTCTGGAATCTTGTCTCACATTTTCATCTGTCAACTCTTAATTAACAAGCACATTGGGTGACATGAAGCTATAGTGGAGGCCTTGTGCACAGTTTCTGGTCTTGAAGAGACAAATCAAGCAAAATCTTGGGGAAAGGTTCCTCCTGAATGTTATGTTGTAAAAATTATTGTTTCATTGTCTGACTTGGGTCCACACATAGCAGCCCAATTGTAAATGGAGTTAAGGATTTAATTGTAATTAAAAAAGGGTTATTTTTCTTATTCCTGATATAAGATTATTGTGTGAAACTCTGGTGTGTTTTGAGTATCTCTTTTTATCTAATTGCTCAACAGTAAAACATATGGCAGGGACCTAGCACTCATGAAGAGTGAGTGAGCGAGTGAGTTTGGGTTTACACCGCATTTAGTAATATTCCATATATGGCGGCGGTCTGTAAATAAGTCGAGTCTCGACCAGACAATCCAGTGGTCAACAGCATGAGCGTCTACGCAATTGGGATACGATGACATGTGTCAACCAAGTCAGCAAGCCTGACCACCCGACCCCGTGAGTCGCCTTCTCGTGAAGAACCAAATTCAAAAGGCACAGCATCTCGGAATTAAATCTGTTTACCTTCGTGATGTGATTGAGGCAGTGCTAAAGCCCCAAATAAAGCAAGTCTAGATTTCCTCAGGTTCTGAATCTCTGGTCTCCCTAGGGCTCCTTTTCAATATAAATGGGCTTGTTTGTTACTATCAAAATTATATATATTCAGAGACTAAACCTTAGTCTACAATAGTAGCTGCAGTAGTTGTACAAGCTGTATAGTTTGGCATGAAATGCATGTGGACCCGTTTTTTTGTTAATATCTCTTCATCCAATGATCCAATCGATCTCAAACTGTGCAAGTGGATGTTTTGTCAGACAAGCTAATCACATTGTAAACCACCTATTTTATGCATTTGTATTAAAGAATCTGTCTATGTAACTGTCAACAAAATAAACAGCAGAACGCAGACTGCTTGCAGAGGGAGGGAGCCAATGACCTGTAACAGCAGGTATAATGTGTCTGAGTGGGGTATTCATGCTTCACTGCGGCATGCTATCTAAGTGGGCTAGCACTATAAAACCAGCTTAAGCCTGGGCTAGTACAAGCAGCCGCACATACACATACACACGCATGCACGTCGTCATATGAGCGAAATATTCTCAAGCACGACGTTAAACCCAATTTCACCTCACGTCACCTCTAACCGAGTGTTTTCTCGGACGATCTTGCGGACTTGCTTTGGAGATTTTACGTGCGCTTTCCACCGTTTTTAGGTAATGACAGCAACGAGTTTCTGAACAATATATTGACATAATTATGACTAATCAATTTTAAACTTAAACAACACTGTGCTTACATTTCACTTCACTGGGTATATTTCAGTCTAACGTTTCCAAGGTGTTATATTTTCTCAGCATATTCATTTTAAGTTCCACCAGGGTTACGGCAGCAAGGTGACATGCAAGCTCAGACAAATGACACGGCATACACTAAATCATGGCATGACGCTCCACACATTCTTCTGTTCGTTTGAGATATTTTGTTTATCTATACTGAACAACATTAGAAACGAACCACACTAAAATGCACCGACGATGCTCAGATATCATGGGTACATATCAGTCTGACGGGGACATTTCGTATTATACGGGTGGTGCGTTTCTAATTTTGTTCAGTATATTTTCAGCTTATTACAACTAAAATAAAATGTTAGTTTAATTGCCTATTCAGGAAGCAGTAAGGTGACATGCAAGCTCAGACAAATAACACGGAATACACTAAATCATGGCATGACTCTCCACACATTCTTCTGTTTGTTGGAGATTTTTGTTTATCTATTTTGGGCTTATTACAACTAAACTAAAATGTTATTTTAATTGCCTATTCAGAAAGACAAAAAATCCCATATGCGATTCTTAAATACGTCTGAAGAAATATAAATTTGGAAATACATGTATACTGAACAACATTAGAAACGCACCACACTAAAATGCACTGACGATGCTGAGATATCATGGGTACATTTCAGTCTGACGGGATATTTCGTATTATATGGGTGGTGCGTTTCTAAAGTTGTTCAGTATATAAAGTGAACAGCTGGTAATATGGATAACAGGGAAGTTCTATGGATATACAACTTTCGTTTCGTTAAGTGGCGTTTCGATGTAGATAGTAGATACTAACCCTGTTATGTACAATACTGCAGGAAAGGCTATATATACAGAAGTAAAGTTTGTACAGTATGTTGATTGATGTTTACATACGTGATAAGGTTGGTGTTCAGAGTGTGAAGGGGGCGGTGGGGTAGCCTAGCGGTTAAAGCGTTCGATCGTCACGCCGAAGACCCGGGTTCGAATCCCCACATGGGTACAATGTGTGAAGCCCATTTCTGGTGTCCCCCGCCGTGATATTGCTGGAATATTGCTAAAAGCGGCGTAAAACCAACCTCAGTCAGTCAGTCAGAGTGTGAAGGATGTTTACACAATGCAGATTAGTCTCTCGTACAGACCCTGAAGCAAATATATCCAAGAAAGCCCACACCAGTCTAGAAAATGTGGCAAGTCTAGATTTCCTCAGCTTCTGAAAATGAAGAAAGTCTCAGGGCTCCTTTTCATTATATATATATTTTTACTATGAACTTTTTTCAGTATAATATGTTCATTTCAGAGATTAGTTGTTAGTCTAAATGCAGATAAGCAGAACTAACTGGGGAGAGATTAAGGGGAAGCCAGTGATGTGACCGACACCAGAATAATAGGATTAGGATTGCTTGGTGATGATGGTAGGCAGTGGAGATGTCATATCCTTGGTCTCTGTTGGTTGGAGTCATTTGATGTGAATGGCTTCAAGTAGTTTCCTGATCTCGTACTGGGTGTGATTCCTCGTATCTTGATGCTGTCCAAATGATTGATTGATTGATTGATTGATTGATTTTTAATGCCGCACTCAGCAACATTCCGGCTATATGACAGCGGTCTGTAAATAATCGAGTCTGGGCCAGTAATCAACAGTATCAGCATCGATCTATGCACTTGGGATACGATGACATGTGTCGACAAAATCAGCGAGCCTGACCACCATGTCTGGTTAGTCGCCTCTTACAAGAAGCATGGGTTACTGAAGACCAATTCTAATCCGGATCTGATGCTGTTCGAAATGATGTGGCTACAGATGGCGGATTTTGGAGTCTTTGTTCTTCACAGAGTTGCGTTCCTTGAAGCTTCACCAATGTATGCATCAACACATAAAATTACTACCAATAGTGAGTGAGTGAGTTAGGTTTTACACCGCTATTAGAAATATTCCAGCAATATAACGGCAGGGGAGCACCAGAAATGGGCTTCACACATTGTACCCATGTGGGGAATTAGAACCCGGGTCTTCCGTGACGAGCGAACGCTTTAACCACTGGGCTACCTCATGGCCCTACTACCAATAGTATCAAATAGTAGTGTTTCTTGAGTTTGTAAATGATAAACAAATCACACTTAAGCAGCAAATAAATCATTTTAGACATGAGTCGCAGTTGTTTACCCAGCATGTTTTTGTTTACAAATTACTGTGCAATGGCGCTCTTTTGCCAAAGAAACAAATTTTAACACTTCGGTATAAGTTATCTCCCTTTGACCACAGAATTTGACATTGAAGACTGTTGGTCAAAATATATATCCGTCTTTTTTGTTTAACCAAAAGTGGTGATTTTTGTTTATTTATAAGATCAGCAGATCCGTACATCATGCAAATACACTTATAAATTCTAATGTAGTATTGACATTTATTTAGAAGCTACCAGACAAAAGGAAGAAAACACAATGAAATTTGATCGTATGAAACATTTAGAAATGTTATGAAGAGGTAATCAGCTGAAAACCGTCAAGTGCAAACTTGAGGTCTCAAACACAACCCTGATACCACTATCAAATACTTCCCTATTGGATTACCATGTCTTGTTTTGCTTTAATATTATCCACCATCAGTGAGTGAGTGAGTTTAGTTTTACACCGCTTTTAGCAATATTCAAGCAATATCATGGAGTGGGACACCAGAAACGAGCTGCTCGCATTGTACCCATGTGGGGACTCGAACCCCGGGTCTTCAGCGTGACGAGCGAAAGCTTTAACCACTTGGTTACGCTACCGCCCCTTATCCACCATCAAAGATACATGTATACTTTCTTTTGTAAGTCAGTTAAGTTTTCCGTCACAATTTTTAAGGCTCACTGGAAAGACAACAAATCTTTGTCCTAACTATTCGGCAACAATGTTAGTTTACATAACTTGTTTGTTTCTTTGTTGTTTAATGCCAACTCAGCAATATTCCAGCTATATGGCGGCGGTCTGTAAATAGTGGTGCCTGAACCAGACAATCCAGTGATCAGCATCATGAGCATCGCCTGGCCACCTGATCCCGTTAGTCACTGCTATTGACAAGCGTGGGTTACTGACAGGCATCTTCACAAGTGGAAGTACTTCAATGAGAAGTTTAGCATATTCCACCGAAAAATAGTACGTGCTTTATCATTATCATCATGAATACTGTGGGAACATTCATCTGAGTGGCGCAATTCACTGAGCAGGGTTGCATCTCTTGTTTACGCCAGCAACCCATGAACATATGTCCAAACTTCGGTTCATCCCATCTGGGGTTCATCAGCACCTTTTCTCTTCTCACCAAGAAGTCCCTCCCGAAATTTTAAGAATTCCGAAGAATTTAAATAAATTATGCATCCCATTTTTCAAAATTCTGCAGTTACAAACTTGGAAAAAAATGATAAAGATTTAAAACTTTAATTCTTAAACACAAAGCTGTAACTTCTTTTAGAGTTTCATCGCATTCAAGGTACAGCTGGAAGTTTGTATTTTCTTGCAAGATGGTTTTTAGATTTAGAAAGCTGATCTGGAATGACATTACAAACTCTACAAAATATTGTTTCATTTGATAGTCAATCTTGATTCAACTTTCAAAATATACACATAAGTAAATTCCACGACAGAAATATGGCAAATTCTGCAGGTATTCTGCATGAAAATGTGTTTTCCGTGGACCAGAGGTTTTCTGTATTAAAAGGTAATTTCCGCGATTTATTCTGCAACCCGTGGAATTGTGGAATCCAGGAGGGACTGACCAAGGTGTTCAACATCAGAGACCTGCATCACTTCACACATTATTATACAGTTATACCAAGAAATTCTCTCCGTACTGCAGTCCCTCCATACGAGTGAGTAAGTGAGTATGGTTTTATGCCACTTTTAGCAATATTCCAGCAATATCACGGTGGGGGACACCAGAAATGGGCTTCACACATTGTACCCATGTGGGGAATTGAACCCAGGTCTTTAGCGTGACGAGTGAACACTTTAACCACTAGACTACCCCATCGCTCCTCAATAAGCATGAGTCTACTAACTCACCGTTCCTTCTTGATGACTTATCATTCACTCACTCACTTCATAAACAATCATAATTTTCTTGTGATATTTTGCGATGAACCACATGAGAGAATAAAGACCCTCTCTGATATTTCTTAATTTCAGAGGAATGTAAGTCTACTCCAGAATTTGAACACAACAAGATGGTAAAATAATCTAAATTTGAAGAAATCAAACAATCCAAAAAGAAGCTCAAGGGAGACAACTCTGTTCCACTTTGTGATATCATGACAAATATGCAAATGGTAATGATGTCTTTATTTTGTGAACAAAGAAAAATAGCATCTGAAACAATTACCTTTGCTAAGCTCTAAATACAATCTGAAAGTCACTTTCTAGAAAGTTACATCTCAAACATTTGTTAAAAAAATATACGGGTCTGTTTACATATAATAGCAAATCCACTATCTTAACAAATAACAATTGCATACAAGCATGCTTGTACTGCAGTTCGAATGTCAGTTGGCTTTTACAGAAGACATAATGTAAACAAAATGTATAATGTACAATGATATTAAGTGAGTCTTTAAACAGACATGGACATATTTCAGAAGAAACCATTTTCAGAATATTTACATCCTCACTTGACCATCCACTTGGGTCATGCGGACATACTCCTTCCCGGAAGGAAGTTCAACCATTCTCATTTTGGGGAAGAGTTTCTTGGCCTCAGCATTGGAGAGAGAAGGAACAACCATACATTCATCCCCAACCTGTAACAAACAGCAAAGGAGGTGAAGTGAGCTGAAATTTGGTTTAACGTCGTACTTGAGAATATTTCGCTCATATGATGACTTGCATGCAAGTGTATTTGTATGTGCGGCTGCTTGTACTAGCCCAGACTGAAGCTGGTTTTATAGTGCTTGCCCACTAGATACCCTGCCGCAGTGAAGCACGAATACCCCACTCAGACACATTATACTGACTCTGAGTCGACCAGTCCTTGTTGTACCCATTAATGCTGAGCCCCAGGCAGGGACCAACAAGTACCATATTTTAACGTCTTTTTCGTATGACGCGGTCGGGGATCGAACCCGCGACCTTCCGCTCTCCGGGGGGACGCTCTAACCACTACACCACGGATGCGGTCCAAACAGCAAAGGAATATGGCATGGTTGCTTAATTATTTTGTTTGGTTTGGTTGTTGTTTAATATAACAATAAAACATAATAATAATAACAGTCCATTTATATGGCGCCTTTCCATGCACAATCCATGCTCATGGTACACGCAAGAAGGAACACAGAATAGTGGTGGGAATCATTTGAAGTAGGTGAGTCTGTAGAAGTAGGTCTTGAGATAAGGGTGAAAGGAAGAATTGTCTTAACAGAGTCTAATTTCAATGAGTAGGCTCTTCCAGGCAGTAGCAGCAGAATAAGAAAATGTTCTATGGCCAAATCATTTGGTCCAGACATGAGGGACAACAAGGGGTCGTCTGTTCTCTGATCTGAGAGATTTAGTGGGCTGGTACTCAGCAATATTCCAGCTATATGACAGCGGTTTGTAAATAATTCTAGTCAGGACCAGACAATCCAGTGATCAACAGCATGTGCATCGATCTGCGCAATTGGGATACAATGACGTGTGTCAACCAAGTCAGCGAGTCTGACAACCCAATCCGTTAGTCACCTCTTAAAACAAGCATGGTTTGCTGAAGACCTGTTCTAACACGGATCTTCAAGGGTTGGTAACATAATTAAATAGGGCTAATGCATCATAAATGGACATCACACGGTTTGATAACATATTCATTAAAACAAGCCTTTTAAGAGTGAATTTAGATTGATGCCACATTTAGCAATATTTCAGCAATATCACGGTTGGGGACACCAGAAATGGGCTTCACACATTGTACCCATGTGTGGAATCGAACCCCGGTCTTTGGCATGACGACTAACACTTTAACCACTAGGCTACCTCACCTACACCCCAAAACATGTGAGCAGGGCTCACTATTACCCCCGGCCGGGATTCCCAACTTCAGCCGTACAACAATTAACAAAGCTTGTGGTCATGGTCAGGATGCCGACAAAGGATTCTTATGAATTGTTATGAAGATGTCAATTCTTCAAGTTTGCAGAAGTTGTCTTACTTTCCAGTCAACCGGGGTCGCAACTTTCTTTGTGGCTGTCAGCTGGAGAGAGTCAATCACTCTCAGGATTTCACTGAAATCAGAACAATAACATACAATTACTGAAACCAGAACAACCACCATACAATTACTGCACCTAGAACACCCACCATACAATTACTGCATCTAGAACACCCATCATACAATTACTGCACCTAGAACACCCATCATGCAATTACTGCATCTAGAACACCCATCATACAATTACTGAACCTAGAACACCCATCATACAATAACTGCACCTAGAACACCCATCATACAATTACTGCACCTAGAACAACCACCATACAATTACTGCATCTAGAACAACCACCATACAATTACTGCACCTAGAACAACCACCATACAATTACTGCACCTAGAACACCCATCACACAATTACTTCATCTAGAACAACCACCATACAATTACTGCACCTAGAACACCCACCATACAATTATTGCATCTAGAACACCCACCATACAATTACTGCACCTAGAACACCCACCATACAATTATTGCATCTAGAACAACCACCATACAATTACTGCACCTAGAACACCCACCATACAATTATTGCATCTAGAACACCCATCATACAATTACTGCAGCTAGAACACCCATCATACAATTACTGCACCTAGAACACCCATCATACAATTACTGCAACCAGAACAACCACCATACAATTACTGCAGATAGAACAACCACCATACAATTACTGCACCTAGAACACCCATCATACAATTACTGCACCTAGAACAACCACCATACAATTACTGCATCTAGAACAACCACCATACAATTACTGCAGCTAGAACAACCACCATACAATTACTGCACCTAGAACACCCATCACACAGTTACTTCATCTAGAACACCCACCATACAATTATTGCATCTAGAACACCCATCATACAATTACTGCACCTAGAACACCCATCATACAATTACTGCACCTAGAACACCCATCATACAATTACTGCACCTAGAACAACCACAATACAATTACTGCATCTAGAACAACCACCATACAATTACTGCACCTAGAACCACCATACAATTACTGCACCTAGAACCACCATACAATTACTGCACCTAGAACAACCACCATACAATTACTGCACCTAGAACAACCACCATACAATTACTGCACCTAGAACACCCATCATACAATTACTGCACCTAGAACACCCATCATACAATTACTGCATCTAGAACACCCATCATACAATTACTGCACCTAGAACAACCACCATACAATTACTGCATCTAGAACACCCACCATACAATTACTGCACCTAGAACAACCACCATACAATTACTGCACCTAGAACACCCATCATACAATTACTGCAGCTAGAACACCAACCATACAATTACTGCATCTAGAACAACCAATCATACAATTACTGCAGCTAGAACAACCACCATACAATTACTGCATCTAGAACAACCACCATACAATTACTGCACCTAGAACCACCATACAATTACTATACCTAGAACAACCACCATACAATTACTGCACCTAGAACAACCACCATACAATTACTGCACCTAGAACACCCATCATACAATTACTGCACCTAGAACACCCATCATACAATTACTGCATCTAGAACACCCATCATACAATCACTGCACCTAGAACAACCACCATACAATTACTGCATCTAGAACACCCACCATACAATTACTGCACCTAGAACAACCACCATACAATTACTGCACCTAGAACACCCATCATACAATTACTGCATCTAGAACACCAACCATACAATTACTGCATCTAGAACACACATCATACAATTACTGCACCTAGAACACCCATCATTCAATTACTGCACCTAGAACACCCATCATACAATTACTGCACCTAGAACAACCACAATACAATTACTGCATCTACAAACAACCACCATACAATTACTGCACCTAGAACAACCACCATACAATTACTGCATCTAGAACAACCATCATACAATTACTGCATCTAGAACAACCAATATACAACTACTGCATCTAGAAAAACCACCATACAATTACTGCATCTACAAACAACCACCATACAATTACTGCACCTAGAACAAACACCATACAATTACTGCATCTAGAACAACCACCATACAATTACTGCACCTAGAACACCCATCATACAATTACTGCACCTAGAACAGCCACCATACAATTACTGCATCTAGAACAACCACCATACAATTACTGCATCTAGAACAACCATCATACAATTACTGCACCTAGAACACCCATCATACAATTACTGCATCTAGAACACCCATCATACAATTACTGCACCTAGAACAACCACCATACAATTACTGCATCTAGAACACCAACCATACAATTACTGCACCTAGAACAACAAATCATACAATTACTGCAGCTAGAACACCCATCACACAATTACTTCATCTAGAACACCCACCATACAATTATTGCATCTAGAACACCCATCATACAATTACTGCATCTAGAACACCCATCATACAATTACTGCACCTAGAACAACCACAATACAATTACTGCATCTACAAACAACCACCATACAATTACTGCACCTAGAACAACCACCATACAATTACTGCATCTAGAACAACCATCATACAATTACTGCATCTAGAACAACCAATATACAACTACTGCATCTTAGAAAACCGCCATACAATTACTGCGTCTACAAACAACCACCATACAATTACTGCACCTAGAACAACCACCATACAAGTACTGCACCTAGAACACGCCCATCGTTCAGTTACTGCACCTAGAACACGCCCATCATACACCACTGCACCTAGAACAACCACAATACAATTGCATGCATCTACAAACAACCACCATACAATTACTGCACCTAGAACAACCACCATACAATTACTGCATCTAGAACAACCATCATACAATTACTGCATCTAGAACAACCAATATACAACTACTGCACCTAGAACAACCACAATACAATTACTGCATCTACAAACAACCACCATACAATTACTGCACCTAGAACAACCACCATACAATTACTGCATCTAGAACAACCATCATACAATTACTGCATCTAGAACAACCAATATACAACTACTGCATCTAGAAAAACCACCATACAATTACTGCATCTACAAACAACCACCATACAATTACTGCACCTAGAACAACCACCATACAATTACTGCATCTAGAACAACCACCATACAATTACTGCAACTAGAACACCCATCATACAATTACTGCACCTAGAACAGCCACCATACAATTACTGCATCTAGAACAACCACCATACAATTACTGCATCTAGAACAACCATCATACAATTACTGCACCTAGAACACCCATCATACAATTAGTGCATCTAGAACACCCATCATACAATTACTGCACCTAGAACAACCACCATACAATTACTGCATCTAGAACACCAACCATACAATTACTGCACCTAGAACAACCAATCATACAATTACTGCAGCTAGAACACCCATCACACAATTACTTCATCTAGAACACCCACCATACAATTACTGCATCTAGAACACCCATCATACAATTACTGCATCTAGAACACCCATCATACAATTACTGCACCTAGAACACCCATCATACAATTACTGCACCTAGAACACCCATCATACAATTACTGCACCTAGAACACCCATCATACAATTACTGCACCTAGAACAACCACAAATACAATTACTGCATCTGGAACAACCACCATACAATTACTGCAGCTAGAACCACCATACAATTACTGCACCTAGAACAACCACCATACAATTACTGCACCTAGAACAACCACTATAAAATTACTGCACCTAGAACACCCATCATACAATTACTGCATCTAGAACACCCATCATACAATTACTGCATCTAGAACACCCATCATACAATTACTGCACCTAGAACAACCACCATACAATTACTGCATCTAGAACACCCACCATACAGTTGCACCTAGAACAACCACCATACAATTACTGCACCTAGAACACCCATCATACAATTACTGCATCTAGAACACCAACCATACAATTACTGCATCTAGAACACCCATCATACAATTACTGCACCTAGAACACCCATCATTCAATTACTGCACCTAGAACACCCATCATACAATTACTGCACCTAGAACAACCACAATACAATTACTGCATCTACAAACAACCACCATACAATTACTGCACCTAGAACAACCACCATACAATTACTGCATCTAGAACAACCATCATACAATTACTGCATCTAGAACAACCAATATACAACTACTGCATCTAGAACAACCACCATACAATTACTGCACCTAGAACACCCATCATACAATTACTGCACCTAGAACAGCCACCATACAATTACTGCATCTAGAACCACCATACAATTACTGCATCTAGAACAACCATCATACAATTACTGCATCTAGAACAACCACCATACAACTACTGCATCTAGAACCATCATACAATTACTGCACCTAGAACACCCATCATACAATTACTGCATCTAGAACAACCATCATACAATTACTGCATCTAGAACAACCACCATACAACAACTGCATCTAGAACAACCATCATACAATTACTGCATCTAGAACAAGCACCATACAATTACTGCATCTAGAACAAGCACCATACAATTACTGCATCTAGAACAAGCACCATACAATTACTGCATCTAGAACAACCACCATACAATTACTGCATCTAGAACAAGCACCATACAATTACTGCATCTAGAACAACCACCATACAATTACTGCATCTAGAACAACCAACATACAATTACTGCACCTAGAACAACCACCATACAATGACTGCAACTAAAACAACCACCATACAATTACTGCACCTAGAACACCCACCATACAATTACTACACCTAGAACAACCACAATACAATTACTGCAACTAGAACACCCATCATACAATTACTGCAGCTAGAACACCCATCATACAATTACTGCACCTAGAACACCCATCATACAATTACTGCAACTAGAACAACCACCATACAATTACTGCACCTAGAACAACCACCATACAATTACTGCACCTAGAACACCCATCACACAATTACTGCAACTAGAACGCCCATCATACAATTACTGCACCTAGAACACCCATCATACAATTACTGCAACTAGAACAGCCATCATACAATTACTGCAACTAGAACACCCATCATACAATTACTGAAACCAGAAAAGAGCATTATACAATTACTGCACCTAGAATAACCACCATACAATTACTGCACCCACAACAACCACCAAACAATTACTGCAGCTAGAACAACCAGAATACAATTACTGCACCTAGAACACCCATCATACAATTACTGCAACCACAACAACCACAAAACAATTACTGCAACCAGAACAACCACCATACAATTACTGCAAATCAGAAAAAAGTACAAACATCATACAATCTACACATCTGAGAGTTATAGGCATTTAACAATTTATTGAAATCTAAAAAGCAGAGGTATTAAACCCCAGATCATAATTAGGGCCATTATGGTATTAGAACCCATGATTAGCAGATCCTTGCAATGTGCACTGAGCTGAGGTAACTTAGCCCTCTGGGCTACTCCTTAGCTGACAACAAGACAATGTGATTATCACATCATTATCAAGAGTTAAAAGGAGAGAGACTACCTATTTGTAGGATCTGATTTTGTTCAATTTACAAATTGACTTTGTCTTTAACTGCTTGATAAGACAAGTCTGAATGGTCGAGGTACCTGTGTGATCCCCACCCCTTGAATCAACAATAATTGATACATTCAAGCCATACGGACAGCCTTAAAGAAAATATACCAAAATAGACAACTCACGTAAAGTTTCTGCCAGTTGTAGCAGGGTAGAGGAATGACAGCTTCAGTTTCTTGTCTGGTCCAATAATGAAAACCTGAGAAACAAGTCCAATAGATATTAAGTTAAGTCTTGCATGCATCAGATGCTTGTAGATGGATACTGTAGAAACCCCAAGGTAGATGGATACTGTGGAAACCCCAGGTTGATGGATACTGTAGAACCCCAGGTAGATGGATACAGTAGAACCCCAGGTAGATGGATACCGGAGAACCCCCAGGTAGATGGATACTGTAGATCCCCCAGGTAGATGGACACAGTAGAAACCCCAAGGTAGATGGATACTGTGGAAACCCCAGGTTGATGAATACTGTAGAACCCCAGGTAGATGGATACAGTAGAACCCCAGGTAGATGGATACTGGAGAACCCCCAGGTAGATGGATACAGTAGAATCCCAGGTAGATGGATACCGGAGAACCCCCAGGTAGATGGATACTGTAGATCCCCCAGGTAGATGGATACAGTAGAACCCCCAGGTAGATGGATACTGTAGAACCCCAGGTAGATGGATACTGTAGATTCCCCAGGTAGATAGATACTGTAGAACCCCCAGGTAGATGGATACTGTAGATTCCCCAGGTAGATAGATACAGTAGATCCCCCAGGTAGATGGATACTGTAGAACCCCCAGGTAGATGGATACCGGAGAACCCCAGGTAGATGGATACTGTAGATCCCCCAGGCAGATGGATACTGGAGAATCCCCAGGTAGATGGATACTGTAGAACTCCCAGGTAGATGGATACTGTAGTACCCCAAAGTAGATGGATACTGTAGAACCCCCAGGTAGATGGATACTGGAGAACCCCCAGGTAGATGGATACTGGAGAACCCCCAGGTTGATGGATACTGGAGAACCCCCAGGTAGATGGATACTGTAGAACTCCCAGGTAGATGGATACTGTAGAACCCCCAGGTAGATGGATACTGTAGAACCCCCAGGTAGATGAATACTGTAGAACCCCCAGGTAGATGGATACTGTAGAACCCCCAGGTAGATGGATACTGTAGAACTCCCAGGTAGATGGATACTGTAGTACCCCCAGGTAGATGGATACTGTAGACCCCCCAGGTAGATGGATACTGGAGAACCCCCAGGTTGATGGATACTGGAGAACCCCCAGGTAGATGGATACTGTAGAACTCCCAGGTAGATGGATACTGTAGAACCCCCAGGTAGATGGATACTGTAGAACCCACAGGTAGATGAATACTGTAGAACCCCCAGGTAGATGGATACTGTAGAACCCCCAGGTAGATGGATACTGTAGAACCCCAAGGTAGATGGATACTGGAGAACCCCCAGGTAGATGGATACTGTAGAACCCCCAGGTAGATGGATACAGTAGAACCCCAGGTAGATGGATACTGGAGAACCCCCAGGTAGATGGATACAGTAGAACTCCCAGGTAGATGGATACTGTAGAACCCCCAGGTAGATGGATACATTAGATCCCCCAGTTAGATGGATACATTAGATCCCCCAGGTAGATGGATACTGTAGAACCCCCAGGTAAATGGATACTGTAGAACCCCCAGGTAGATGGATACTGTAGAACCCCCAGGTAGATGGATACTGGAGAACCCCCAGGTAGATGGATACTGTAGAACTCCCAGGTAGATGGATACTGGAGAACCCCCAGGTAGATGGATACAGTAGATCCCCCAGGTAGATGGATACAGTAGAACCCCAGGTAGATGGATACTGGAGAACTCCAAGGTAGATGGATTCTGTAGAACCCCCAGGTTGATGGATACTGGAGAACCCCCAGGTAGATGGATACTGTAGAACCCCAGGTAGATGGATACTGTAGAACCCCCAGGTAGATGGATACAGTAGAACTCCCAGGTAGATGGATACTGTAGATCCCCCAGGTAGATGGATACATTAGATCCCCCAGGTAGATGGATACTGTAGAACCCCCAGGTAGATGGATACTGTAGAACCCCCAGGTAGATGGATACTGTAGAACCTCCAGGTAGATGGATACAGTAGAACTCCCAGGTAGATGGATACTGGAGAACTCCAAGGTAGATGGATACAGTAGAACTCCCAGGTAGATGGATACTGTAGACCCCCCAGGTAGATGGATACAGTAAAAACCCCAGGTAGATGGATACTGTAGAGCCCCAGGTAGATGGATACAGTAAAAAACCCAGGTAGATGGATACTGTAGAACCCCCAGGTAGATGGATACAGTAGAACTCCCAGGTAGATGGATACTAAAAAACCCCAGGTAGATGGATACCCCAGGTAGATGGATACAGTAAAAACCCCAGGTAGATGGATACTGTAGAACCCCCAGGTAGATGGATACAGTAGAACTCCCAGGTAGATGGATGCTGTAGAACCCCCAGGTAGATGGATACAGTAAAACCCCAGGTAGATGGATGCTGTAGAACCCCCAGGTAGATGGATACAGTAGAACCCCAGGTAGGTGGATACTGTCGACCCCCAAGACAGAAGGATACAGTGATACACAATGATACATCATGGTAGATAAATGAATCTTCCCCACCCAATTCCAGATGTAGAAGCCACTCACTGCTCTGCAGGTAAGGGGCATCCCAGCAGCATCCTTCTCGTCAGGGTCCACCATGCCCAGCTTGACCGCAAGAGACCTGTCCTTGTCCGAGATGATAGGGTAGGGGAATTCGCTTTTCACATCCACATAGGCAAGCACATCCTTGAAGGAAAACACGAAGACCATCATGAAGTAACAGGATTGGACATGCTTTTGATTGGACATTTAATAGGGGTGACTAATAATGGAGAAACAACTTTTGCGATAGCAATAGTCTATTGCAACATACTACAGCGATAGCAATAGTCTATTGCAACATACTACAGCGATAGCAATAGTCTATTGCAACATACTACAGCGATATCAATAGTCTATTGCAACATACTACAGCGATATCAATAGTCTATTGCAACATACTACAGCGATAGCAATAGTCTATTGCAACATACTACAGCGATAGCAATAGTCTATTGCAACATACTACAGCGATATCAATAGTCTATTGCAACATACTACAGCGATAGCAATAGTCTATTGCAACATACTACAGCGATAGCAATAGTCTATTGCAACATACTACAGCGATAGCAATAGTCTATTGCAACATACTACAGCGATAGCAATAGTCTATTGCAACATACTACAGCGATAGCAATAGTCTATTGCAACATACTACAGCGATAGCAATAGTCTATTGCAACATACTACAGCGATAGCAATAGTCTATTGCGACCAACTATTGAAATACTATTGCAATAGGTTTTTTTTGCTTGAATTTTCATTTAAAGTCATTAACTCTAAATCAGAGTGAATGAATCTGGTACTTCCTGCATTTTGCGCTGCGGATATATCAAAGGAAGTTAATCACTAAACTATCGATGGTCACATGATAGTTTTTCGTTTCTACCATTGATTGCTATTGCAGACTCAACGATTGCAATCCATCAAAAGTTTGATGCGATTCATTAGAGCCCTACTATTAATAACACTGTGCTCATCAGTGTATTAATATATCACGATCATGTTGAACACATGGTACAATTTTAAACTCTTATTTATACCCTTGTCAATGGATCAATGTACACCTGATTTTATTCTCAGCTCCCTTGGAAGTGTACAACCTAGGTAGCATGTGGGGCACGAACAGCTGAAGAGTCACAACCCGAGTCTTCGGTGTGAACACCACAGAGGAAAGTTCCACTCTAATCAGCCATAAATCAGTCAATGACATCATGACACTGACTTCTCAATGCTGATCTTTAAAGGATTGTTTGTTTCTTGTTTCATGCCTCACTCCGCAATATTCCAGCATTAGGACAGGGGTCTTTAAATAATCGAGTCTGGACCAGACAATCCAGTGATAAACAGAATGGGCATAGATTCTACGCAACTGGGGCACGATGACATGTGTAAACCAAGTCAGTGTGTCTGACCATCCGATCCCTTAGTTGCCTCTTTCGACAAGCATAGGATTGTGAAGACGAATTCTAACCGGATCTTCACAGTCAAACTGACTGAGTTTGGTTTTACGCCGCTTTTAGCAATATTCCAGCAATATCACGGCGGGGGACACCAGAAATGGGCTTTACTCATTGTACCCATGTGGGGATTCGAACCCGGGTCTTCGGCATGACGAGCCAATGCTTTAACCACTAGACTACCCCACCGCCCCTTCACAGTCAAAAGGATGGTAGAGTGTTGAACAGTGTCTTCTCAATGCCTCAGAAGTGTTGCTGTCTTACCTGTGACCATCCTTCATGGCTTTTAACATCATCACAGGAGAGTGCAATCAACTTAACACCTCGCTTCTGGAACTCTGGGACAAGCTGTACAACTCGGCCGAGCTCGGTGGTGCACACAGGAGTGTAGTCCGCAGGATGGGAGAACAGGACGGCCCAACTGAGGAACACAATACTACATACAACCAGAGGAATAGTGAGTGAGTGAGTGAGTGAGTGAGTGAGTGAGTGAGTGAGTGAGTGAGTGAGTGAGTGAGTGAGTGAGTGAGTGAGTGAGTGAGTGAGTGAGTGAGTGAGTGAGTGAGTGAGTGAGTGAGTGAGTTTGGTTTTACGCCGCTTTTAGCAATATTCCAGCAATATCACGGCGGGGGACACCAGAAATGAGCTTCACACAATGTACCCATGTGGGGATTCGAACCCGGATCGAACGCTTTAACCACTAGGCTACCCCACCGCCCCACCAGAGGAATGGGATACCTGAACAGGGTTTTACCTCAGCTCACAAACATGGGTTACCAAGGACCCTTAATTATTAGTTTTAATGGTCCTTGCAGGGTCCTGTAAAGTAATGGTTTAGACAAGTGTACATATTGATAATTTCTTTGAAGCCTGGAATGAATCATTGATCAGTGGACTGATGGATGAAATGATGCACGTAACTGCTCTGAAAGAAACAACCAAACACTTAGCAAAGTCATAGATGTTTTAGGGTACAATGAGTGAGTGAGTTTAGTTTTATGCCGTTTTGAGCAATATTTCCCAATATCACGGCGGGGGACACCAGAAATGGGCTTCATGCATCGCACCCATGTGGGGAATCGAACCCGGGTCTTCGGCGTGTTGAGTGAACACCTTAACCACTAGGCTAAGGCGTACAATGAATTATATTTTGTGTCCTGGATGCAGTGAATGGTTTTTCTTTGTCCATTCTCTACATTTGTGTGTAATGGATGCACATTTATGCATCACGTAATACCCTGCAGGAATTATATTCGTTTTTGTTATTTGTTGCATTACACCCTGCTCCCTACTATTAAATAGAGATCTGGGGCCATGACACATCAGAATCACTTTATACATTGACCAACCAATGAGTTAGTGAGTGAGTTGGGTTTTATGCCACCTTCAGCAATGTTCCAGCAATATCACAGCAGTGCACACCAGAAATGGGCTTCACACACATGTACTCATATGTGGAATCGAACCCGGGTCTTCGGTGTGATAAGCGAAGCCTTAACCACTGGGCTACCCCAATGTCCCGCTGGATGATAGAATGGTTTCATATGGAATAATTTACTGTCTTTTCTTATAGACACTAGATGTCAGTCTACTAATTCAATACAGAGGCAATTAGTCAGCATTAAGGTCATAAGGTCATGGGACAAAGACGACATTGTACGTCAAGCATACCAAGTCACAGCTCTTGCAGAGTCTCCAAAATGAGGTCGAGGAATCTCTGCTTCACTCATGAGAGAGCACATATAACCCATGCAGTCATGCAGAACAGAAATATTGTGATAAATATGCTGACGCATGATGATTAGGCTGGGGAACTGAATCGACCGAATTTTCTGAAATGCTGTTACCAGGTGGTTTGTGTTCAATAACAACTGATCATATTACATATCTTTTAACATCATTACTTCCCATCAAAATCTCACTTACAAAACTATCTGTTATGTATATATATATGGTTACATTGAAGATTGATTTCTCCACTAACTTAGGGGAACCAACTGCAAACCTTATGCAGATAAATTGCTCGAGGATCATGCATCAAATTGCTGAAAAACATGTGCAAATATCGTGCATGTGAACAGCTGCATTTTGGTATAAAGTTTTGTTAAGAATTCGCCAATTTTTACTGATTTTTATCATTTACTGAACTCATGAGAATAATCTTTTCAACGTTATGACTTTGTTTTACAATACATCAGTTCATGTGTAAACAGTACCTTTTAACAGTATGGAATATTTTGCAAAATTTAGTTTAGAACAGTTGCCTGAAGTAAGTAGCTATATTTACACTAATGAGTTTAAACTTTTGATGGGAAGCATATTTGGTTTCACATTGAAGCTGACAAATAATCATATACACTGAAGAAACAACATAACTGTCCTCCACAAAAAAGCTATTAAAGTAACAATACACGTTAACATGGTATTGAGGAGCGACCAACAGGGCTGTGAAGAATCGGGTCTTCAGTAACCCATGGTCACTAACGAGTGTGTGAGTTTAGTTTTATGCCACCCTCAGCAATATTCCAGCTATATGGCGGTCTTTAAATAATCGAGTCTGGACCAGACAATCCAGTGATCAACAGCAGGAGCATCAATCTGCACAACTGAGATACGATGACATGTGTCAACCGACCCAGAGAGCCTGACCCAGAGATGCCAACCCTGAATCTAAAGAAAACGGAGTCATGACTGGCTGAAAGCCAGGGCTGAGCACCACCGGTGAGAGTTGGGGGTGAGCGCGTGGTCAGCTCTGCCATTTTGTTTTACTTTCATACGGACTATGACATGCATTCGGAAAAACTATGTGAAACTTCATCGTCAATAACACGCAACATACACAATCGACACCCAAAGGATCACACGCTAAGCTTCTGAATGCTTTTACCAGTGTTCACTCACTGGTTACTTACGAAATTGTATACCGTTAAAATAACTTCAGAATTTTTTCTAAAAAATCAGAGTTTTGTAAAGAGGAATCTGAGAGCAGATTTTGTACTTGAAAATCGTGGAAAATTCGCCAAAATCAGAGTGGTTGGCATCTCTGCTGACCACCCGATCCCATTGGCGAATAATGGGTGGTCGGGCTCACGGACTTGGTTCATGCATGTGATTGTATTCCATCTGCATCGATTGAGGCTCATGATGTTGAATACTGGACTGTCTGATCCAGACTTGATTATTAAATACAGACTGCCATGGTATAGTGGGGGAAATGCTGAGTGCGTCGTTAACAAACAGCAACTGACTGACTGACTGAGTTTGGTTTTACGCCGCTTTTAGCAATATTCCAGCAACATCACGGTTGGGGACACCAGAAATGGGCTTCACACATTGTACCCATGTGGGGATTCGAACCCGGGTCGTGACGAGCCAATGCTTTAACCATTAGGCTACCCCACCGCCCCAACAAACAGCAACTAAAATGTTAGCTTGTAGGACCACCAATCATTTATCTAAATCTCCTGAATCTATTCTGATAAAACACTACTCGGAAAAATACATTTACAGTAATTTCTATGAAGCAATTACTTCTTTCCACTTTAAGAGATGGATAAAACATTTGGCCGATACCCTGATTAACACTGCGATCTGTATCGGTACACATCAGAAAATTGCCAGCATTCATCCACAGAACCATACAAACAAGGCTGTATTTAGACGACAAAATCAGCCAAGCAAATCTCACTCACACGATTCAGTACTATTACTGAGGGAAAGACTGTGACCTTTATATGCAGGTGGCTGATCTATTCAGTCGTGGTCTCATGTTCCCCAGAGCAATCCAAACTTCACCTCACCATGGTAACTTAACATACCTAAGGTCTGACATGGTTAATGTTGCTGGGTTGTAACAGTTGTTGAGCCATGAACAGTACTTATGTTGGGGTATATATTTCCTGCTGCGTCATGCTGGATCCGTTGACACTAGTGTGAGGTGTTGTTGGTATATATGAATGAGACATGAAGGATCTGGTTGATCTAAACTCTCTCTCTCTCTCTCACACACACACACTATATATATCTCTCTCCCTCTCCTCCCCCCCCCCCCCTCTCTATCTCTCTCTCACACACACGTGAAGATCCGGGTTAGAATTGTTCACAAAACTACACAAACACATTCACAAAACTACACAAACACATTCACAAAACTACACAAACACATTCACAACACTACACAAACACATTCACAAAACTTCACAAACTTCACAAACATTCACAAAACTACACAAACACATTCACAAAACAACACAAACACATTCACAAAAAAACTACACAAACACATTCAAAAAAAATTCACAAAACTACACAAACACATTCACAAAACTACACAAACACATTCACAAAACTACACAAACACATTCACAAAACTACACAAACACATTCACAAAACTTCACAAAACTACACAAACACATTCACAAAACTACACAAACACATTCACAAAACTTCACAAAACTACACAAACACATTCACAAAACTTCACAAAACTACACAAACACATTCACAAAACTACACAAACACATTCACAACACTACACAGATATTAAGCTCACAAAGCATTATTTTGATATATACCACTTAAGATAATGAAACTTAAAGGTCTTCATAGAGACCATATCAACACTACTGTCTAAGATAGGCACTGCACTTGTCTAGTAGCTTACACAGGTTGTCATCTGAGGATTTATCATCCACTTCTGATCTAGTTGATGTCAAAGTCAAACCAGCCTTCACTGATAAGCTCATACAAGCACTTGAAGATACAGCTTAACATGTGCTATACCGACAAAGAAATATTTACGAAACATTTTATACACTAGACATCTGAATAAACTGTCTTCATTACAAATAATATCTTCACTTAAACTAATCAAAAGCCCTAATTCATTGAAAACAACATTGATCTGTAAAACTTATGGTTGATTCAAACTAAAAGCTTGGTAACTGCATATTCGCTATCAAGTCATCATTTTGTGGTTTCAGGGCGGTGGGGTAGCCTAGTGGTTAAAGCATTCGCTTGTCATGCCAAAGGCCCGGGTTCAATTCCCCACATGGGCACAATGTGTGAAGCCCATTTCTGGTGCCTCCACTGTGATATTGCTAAAAGTGGCATAAAATTAAACTCACTCACTCACTTTGTGGATTCAACCAGTAAAACGTCTTCACGTCACCTTCCACACAGTACACATGCATGTTTGTTGTTATTTAATTCCTCACTCATTAGACCGGAGAGCGGAAGGTCGTGGGTTCGATCCCCGACCGCGTCATACCAAAAGATGTTAAAATATGATACTTGTTGGTCCCTGTCTGGCGCTTGGCATTAATGGGTACAAGAAGGACTGGTCGGCTCAGAGTCAGTATAATGTGTCTGAGTGGGGTATTCATGCTTCACTGCGGCATGGTATCTCAGTGGGCTAGCAC